TGAGTCGTTCTGCCGGTCTCAACAAACTCGATGACGATCCGTCTCCATCGATGCAATCCCGGAGGAAGTAGAACTTGATGTCGATGTGCTTGCTCGGCCGTGGAGGATGAGTTCTTGGCGAGGGCGATGGCGGGTCGATTGTCCACCATCGAAATTGGCGGTGAGCTTCCTCGCCGTCACTCACTAAAGAAATTGCTGGCAATGTAGACATACAGACGTCGTCGCGTGGCCATTGCGCGTACCAAATTTCACACTCACGACGCCGACACGCCACGATCTTTTGCTTTACGATCGCCAAGCAATGGGGGGCCGCCCAAAGAAGACGAGCACGCCGGAGGTGCTCCGTCGCCCATCAATGTCGCCCGCCATGTCCGCAGATCGCGCCAAAAGCGATGAGCTCCGGCCACCTTCCTTTGCCTTTGGGGGTGCCTCATCGAACACCGTGAGCCGCAACCTCCCTTGCCGCCACTCTTGGGGAAGATGATCGCTTGATCGAGCGGCCCCTTGACGAAAGCACAACAACCTTTTCACCGCCAACCGGTGATCTTCGCAGTCCTCCATGAACGGCCGACGTATCCAACCGCGAACGCAATGTCCGTCGGGTATGAGTGAGGTAGCGCAGGTTCACCGACGATACTCCGGTGACACATCAAGGCCCACCTTCAGTCAGTAAAGGTTGTGCTTGCTTTCGGCCTTCACCGTCATTGTAATTCTCCAGACTGCGGCGCGACGACGACCTCCTGTTGTGGCTAGGCCGCCACAAAGACCACTCAGTCATTGTCGCCCATCTCCCAAACCGTCTGGTCATCGCCGGTGTTAGTCCCATGATGACGGCGCTTTCTGTACTCTCGATACCACTTGTTAGTCCCAGTGCACCTCGCATGTAAGCAACTAGCTTATCAAGACACAAACTCACTAACTATGGCTAGAGGTAGAAGAAGAAATTGAGAACATAACACACACACACTCAAAGACAAGCACCAAGTTGCACGATGCCCTGCCCTTTGGTTTGTGGCAACTGAATTGAGTATTCCATTGCCCTTTGGATGGAATATATACAACTCTAGCTGTACCTCTACCAAGTACATAGTTGTTGACCAACTACCTACTTCTGAGTATAAGAGTACACCAACTACCTACTCCTAAGGTACAGAGTATACCAACTACTCATAGCAGTACAAAGCTTACCTCAGCCCACTACCAAGGCATGGCTGATGTAATAGCTACCAACTAATGTAATAGAGGTGGCCTATTGCTATACTGCTATAGCTGCAGGAACTGGTCGGCAGAGCCGATCAGTCCCTAACTCCCAATAAGGGGTGGTCGGCTGAGCCGACCAGTCTCCAGCTAAGGAGAAATGGGGAGCAGCAGATTATGTCTAACACAATGCAGAGGAGAATTGGATGTTTGCTGGGGATTTCAACTTCTATAGATCTATATCTGATAGAAATAGAGATGTGCTAATATGAATGACATGATGATCTTCAATGAAATCATAAGTAACTTGAGTCTGCTTGAGATCCCCCTCAAAGGAAGAAACTTTACCTGGAGCAATATGCAAAGAGCTCCCCTCCTTGAGCAAATAGACTGGGTGTTCACAACCTCCAACTGGACAAGTGACTTCCCTAACACTTTGCTTCTTCCAATGGCTAGACCCACCTCTGACCACATTCCTTGCAAGATTCAAATTGGGACTTCTATTCCCAAAGCTCAGTCTTGTGTTTGAAAATTTCTGGATAGAGCATCCCGCTTCTTTTTGATCGTAAATTTGGTCCGAATTCCAATGTCTCAAAGAACTAATAGTGCTACTAGAATCATCATCAAATTCAAACTTTTAAGGGCTGCCCTAAAAAAAAGTGGAGCAAAGGTCTTTCTAACCTCGGTTATTCGATAAAAACTACAATTCTACATCTGGAGATCCTAGATACACTATAAGAACAAAGGCCTTTTTTCTTCAAGAATTCAATTTTAGGAAGATTTTGAAGAACCACATCCTCAAGCTCCTTAAGCACCAAAAAGATTATTGGAAGAAAAGATACACTATTAGATGGACTAAATTTGGAGATGAAAGTACAAAATTCTTTCATGTCAGCCGCAACCGAAAGATACAGGGATAAATACCATCACTTCTCTTTAAATCAAGATGGAAGATCCGTGTGTGATCACAAAGTGAAAAAGTTGCTTTCGCTTCTTGAGGAATACAAACAAAGAATGGGGTGCACTACTAGCCCTCGACATGCTATATAACTTAAGTCAATCGGTCCGTAACAATAGCAACCTAAGGCGCCTATCCGCATTCTTCACAATTGAGGAGATTAATAATATAGTCAAACAAATGCTCACGATAAAGCACCTGCAATCCAGATGGTTTTAATGGATACTTCATCAAAAGTTGTCGGGAAACAATTAAAGGAGATTTCTCAACTGCTTTGACTTCTTCAATGGAACCCTAGATTTGCAATCTATAAACAATTCCTTCATCACTCGATTCCCAAGACAAACAACCTGTCTCAAGTTAAATAATTTCAGGCCCATCTCACTTCTAAATTGTGTCCTCAAAATTATCACAAAGCTCCTAGCCAATGTGCTCCAAGGCAAGATCACATCACTCATTCATACCAACCAATATGGCTTCATCAAATCTAGGATAATCCAGGACTGCTTGGCATGAACCTATAAGTATATTCATCAAAGTGCCAACAATCCAAGAAAGAAATCATTATTCTCAAGCTTGATTTCATAAAAGCTTTTGATACTATTGAACATAATGTGATCATTCAAATGATGAAACAATTTAGGCTTTGAGGATACTTGGTGTGACTGGATCCAACGAATTCTTGATTCAGAACCTCTTCCATCCTTCTTAATGGAGTGCCCGAAAACACTTCCAATGCAGACGTGGGAGGAGACAGGAGATCCTCTTTCTCCCCTTCTCTTCGTTTTGGCTGCTGGTCTCCTTCAATGCATTATTAACAGAGGTCACGGTGACTTCTCTTCGTTTTGGCTGCTGGTCTCCTTCAATGCATTATTAACAGAGGTCACGGTGAAGGACTATTTGATCTCCCTATCCCTCCTATGAAACAGCTCAAGATCCTATTATCCAAAGATGCTGGACGACACCATTCTCATCATAAAAGCTTCCTAAATGGAACTTTTCACTCTAAAAGGATTGTTGGAATCTTTCTCACACCAACTCGGACTTCGGGTTAACTATAAAAAGTCTTGTTTGATGCCTCTAAATCTCTACCGAGAAAGCTCATCAGCTAGCTAGGTTTTTTGGATGCAAACTGGAATCCTCCCTTCACATACCTTGGATTGACAATGGGTACCACCAAGCCGATAAAGGAGCACTTTGGATTTATCATGAACAAAGTTGAAAGAAGACTTACAGACCACTTCAAATCTTCTCTCCCATGCTCAAGACTAGAGCTAGTGAACTCGGGTCCTGTCCTCTCTTCCTACCTATGCCATGTGCACTCTTCATGCCTTATTTCAGCTTATAGAGTACATTGTGAGAGCAAGAAGACTTTGTCTTTGGAGAAACTCGATAGCAATGCCAAAATGAAACCGGAAAAATACAGCAAGCCAAAAAGAAAGGGAGGGCTCGGTATCATCAATCTTAGAAGCCAAAACTCTACTCTACTCCTTAAACACCTAGACAAATTCTACAACAGAAAGAGATTCCTTGGGTCAAGCTTGTTTGGCATGCTCACTACTCCAATGGTGACATCCCACATGCAACTATGGATAAAGGGTCTTTTTGGTGGAAGGATATCCTGAAACTTTGTGATCTCTTCAGAGGAATCACTAATTGCAAACTCGGGATGGATCTCTGTTTTTTTTGGTCGGACCTTTTGAATGACAATGTCATGCGAAAGCAAGTTTCCAAGACTTTTCTCTTTGCCAAAAACAAGAAGATTTCGTGTTGCGGTTCCTTTCAAACAACAACCTTGATACAATTCCACCTTCTTCTGTCCGAACAAGCTTATCAAGAATATCAAAGAATGCAAGACTACATTCAATCTATATACAGGTTCAACAAGATACAAAAGACTCTTGGCACTATATTTAGGAAGCAGCAGCTATACATCTTCTAAATTCTACAATTTTCCTCTACAGAAATGTTCAGCCCCTGCTCCTTTTCTATGGATCTGGGACTCAAAATGCAGTAACAAACTTAAAGTCTTCCTGGCTCCTGATTATGGATAGGCTAAACACAAGGAACCTTCTTAAAAGGAAAAAGCACAAGTTGGAGGGCAATAACTATAAATGCATTCTCTGCAATCAGAATGTCGAGGAAACTGCTTTCCACCTCTTCTTTAGCTGTCCATTCAGTCAGGCCTGCTGGCAACACTTGAACATGCGCTGAACTTTCAAAGTGATTTCTTCCAAATGATGATGCAGTCGAAACAGCAATATCAAAATCCCTTCTTTATAGAGATCTTCATCATTACTGCCTAGCACATATGGAAGCAGTTTAAATAACTTTATATTTGACAGAGGACGACCCTCTTTCTCCTCCCCGAAATGCTCCTTTTGGATGAGGCTAGACTTCAAGCTCTTATAATGTCTGAAGACAAGCGCTTTGTTTTCCTCCTCCTTCAGATAGACTCCTTTTCTTAGTTCTTAGCGGACCAGTGGCTCCCTCAGCCTCTTGGGTGGTTTTTGTTTTTGTTGTTCTTTCTCCTCTGTACAGTTTCTGGCTTTTGCTTTTTAATAAAATCTCACAGTGGGGGCCTCCCCTGCTGTGTTTTTCGCTAAAAAAAACAATTCACACAGTGCACTGGATTAACAACATGTGCACCTGTGTAGCAACTAAATGAAGAGATAAAAATGAGATGAGACTGTTGCTAATTGATATCAAAATAGAAGGTAAAGAGATCAGGGTGATTCCATACAACTTTGAACGGCATAATAAAGCAGAAGATGCTGACTCAAGGCATTGCATAATATTAAGGCTCGAATAGTGAAACAGAGTTTCAAGGAGAGCCAATCCAAACCTGAAAACGCTCTGCACCAAGGTAATTCTGAAGCATGCGAATAACAGAAGCACCCTTATCGTAGCTTATGGCATCAAAAATTTCATCAACTTCACTGGCATGATGTATTTCAACCTAGTGGGAAAAAAAGGGAATATTGTTAGCAAAATGAATCACAACCCAGTACATAGACAAGGGAAAAAGTCAGTGTCAACATCTAAGTAATGGATTTAATTGTTAAAAATGGTCCGTAAGTTGTAAGGGTTTTTTTTTTACAAAAAAAATGCACTACAGTTATTCTCCAATTTATATTCCATAGACAGTTCAAGAGTGAGGTCAGGACGGGTTCCTGGACAGCAAAGGTTTGTGACCCTCTTAGCCCAAGTTCGATACCAGGTAAGGGAGTTGGTCCGAATCCAAAATAAATAAAGGCTGGGATTTGTTCCCAAAATTCCAACTAAAAGGAAAGGAAAAGAAAAAGGCAAAAAGTATCTAACTAGTGTTACTAAGGACACCTGAGCCCATAATTTTTTTTCCCAAGTCTGATGATGAACACCCACATCACAACCAGACACTTCTGTCAGATTTCAAGTGCTATTTGCCATGTGCAAAAGTATTTTGCCAAATCAGACACCCAAGCCCAAGAAGATTCTGACACCCATGTTTGTGTCCAGGTAGAACTAGCATTAACTAAAAGGAAACTAATAGAAAGAAAGAAAAAGGACGATGTCATGATCGGCAAGACCTACACTAGGAGGAGGCAACATCCTAAGTCTACAGTTAGTGGCTAGTAAAGGGCAATAGGCCGATTTGTTATAATTTAGCCTTAATAGATAGTTAGGCTATTGGGCCAGACCCATTAGTGATTGTAACCCCCCTTATATATATGAGGGAGACGCTTAATGAGAAACTAAGCAAGTTTAGTGTTAATCCCTTTATCCCTTCTCCCTTCCCCTTCTCTCCCTGCGCCGCCCCTCTCTTCTCTTCCCAGCCGCTGCCACCTTCTCCAGCTAGGCCACCGCCCCTCCCTGCCAGGCTGCCGACCACAGCAGCCAAGCCGCCGCCGGCCACCCTCAGCCAAGCGGCCACACAGCACGCCGCCGTCGCCCCAAACCCTCAGATCGGCCCCAATCCGATCCTGCAGCAGTTGGGGATCAACAGGCATGTTACAGACGATACTTCAATAGCCAAAGGACACAGGAGTTTATCATATCTATCATTGCTATTTTAACTATCAACAATTGTGCACCACAATGAACTCATATACTTCTACTGGACCTCAGTACACATTTACCACAATCCACAAGATTGTGGTCAAACTTAAAGCATGCAATGTTTTAGATGTATACAAAGCGATGAAAAAGCAGAACGTACGAAACACAGCTAATTTTCAAACTATTGGACCAGAGCCATAGCTCATAGTAAATCCCAAAGGAGGGTTACCTCAATAGGGTGAGACTCTGCAAGTGAATCCAATTTGAGACCAGCGGTTGTGTCATCAAGGAATTGTGTCCAGATATTCCATTGTGGAAAGAAAGAATCTACAGCTAGATTACTCATCTGTTAAAAGAAAAGTCTATTTACTCAATATATAGAGGCAGCCTACAGAATGAAAATTTGAATATTAGGATCTAAAATTGATTACCCATGTAGCAAAACCTTCGTTTAGCCACAAGTGAGTCCACCACTCCATGGTTACAAGATTGCCAAACCACTGATGAGCCAGCTCATGTGCTACAGTAATTGCAATCTAAAACAAAGAAATGTTGAGACCATTAAAGCAAGGACATCTCTACATCTGGCATTCGATCACCTGAAGTGACCAATCAACTATGAATTCAATGCAATCAATTGACCTATATTTGATTATTGAAATTAAAATATAATCTGATTCTCAAATATGGTAGTAACTCGTCTATACCTAATATTAAAGAGGCAAAATTTCTCTCCACCTATTTTTTCGTCCACCTCTCTCTAACTACTCGAAGAGTGGAGAGTTTCCTCCATGTCTCGTATGTGACCCGGACTCATGACCCATACTCATACAAGTTAGGACAACTCGCATCTAGCAATGATGAATACAAAGTTCGATTCCAATATATATTGGGTCGCACCTTGCGTATCTCGTACGTGAACTGGACTCATGACTCATGTTCATATGAGTTAGAACAACTCACATCTAGCGATGACACAGAGTCCTATTCCTATACATATTGGGTTCCATTGCAACGCATGGGCACATTTGCTAGTCATTTATAACAAGTGAAAGCTAGATAGTGGAAAGTTATATAAGAAAGAGTTTGAGTAACGAAAGGTACACTCTGTTTGCTGGATTCCGCTGAAGACTCCTCATCAAAAAGCAAAGCCACTTCACGGAAAGTAACCAGCCCATAGTTCTCCATGGCTCCGGCAGCAAAATCAGGGATGGCAACCATATCCAATTTGGGAAGCGGATAAGGAGTACCAAAGTAACTAAAAAAGTGGAGAAATGAACATTACATTAGTGGTTCTATCCTATTTTAACCACGACTATTTATAAACGTTTGTTATGGTTCTACAAGCCTGTTTACTAGCAAGAGTGTGGTTGATCGTACTCTTTATAAAGATGCAATGACTTGATTCCAACATCCAATGCAAACTTCCCTTGGTCACTCTTGCCAACTTGAGTGTACACACGAACTTTTGTGCCTTTATACAATTATTAAACAAGATTAGGAAAATGGAATGCAAATGGAAAAAGAAGAAGATGATACCAACTTTTGTGCGTGCTCATGTTCTGTATTTTATTATTTATATATTTATCCAGTAGGGACTCACCCCTAATGTTCCTTAAAAAAAGATGATACATGTCAAAGTAACGGAAGAAAAGTAGAGTTGATACCTTCTGGTGTGACACCCTCTATATATTCAAGCAAACCAACAACTATAGCCACTAAATAAGTCGACATAAGAGGTGATTCCACATAGCGAACAGTCTTGATAGGACCAGCAACTGTCTGATTAGCTATTGGCATATTGGACAATGCCACCATCCCAACTGGTACTTCAAGTGTTAGCTTGAACTTAGCCTAAAAATAGACATAGAAAAATGGAAATGTAAGAAATCAGACATTTGATATTTTATTAGGCATGCATACATGAGACTGAGAGGAGCATAAAGCTACAGGTTGGAGTAGAACTTGCTACTATATATGTACAAATGTTGCTCAGAGCACAAAAGCCTAATAGACGAAACACCTGAAGGAGCAAACCCAGATTATTAGGTATTCCATTTTAGTACTATAATCACCTTGAACGCAGGCTCATCCCAGCATGGGAAGCACCGCCGAGCATCCACGGACTCAAATTGTGTCACTGCCATATTCTTCATCTTTCCCTTATACTGGTACTTACTGCATCAAACAGCACTCAGAGTTATTACCGCAGAAAAAAAAACCTTAAAAGAATGAAGAAAAGGAACGAACAAAATGGATACGAATCGAACACATTTAAAAAAAAAAAAACTCCCATTTAGTAGCTCGTTCCAAGAAGCAACTTCCTGAACTGCATGCTTTTTGAATAACATAGCAAGTGCCTAGTTGGCGTTGATTGGATATCATGAATGATGGTAGAACAAGTATGGGCAAACGACGAGATCGAAATTTGTTAACTATAGACTATATTATCATGATCGTGCCATAGAGCTCACAGATTTTAGGAGTGAATACAATTCAAAGGGTTGAAGACATGACTAGAGGTCTCTCGTACCAGCAAAGGCAATAATTTTTTACCTTTCTCCATTTCAGCAACGCTCAATTTAAGTGCCAAAAAAATGAGTTTAGGATCAGAGGAAACCCCCCGTACCTCCGGTAGAACCCCCTCATCTGATCGTTGAGCGTGCCGTTAAATTTCATACTGAGCACGCCCTCACCGAGTGGCAGGTCCTTGGAGAATCCGAGCACCAGAATCTCGTCGTCATCGAAAAACACCACCTCCTTAGGCGCCAAATCCTGCAAAAACGGCCCCGGACCGGCATCCGAGATGATATTTGGCGCCAAGGAAATGGAAAATATATATGGCAACATTTTTTTCTTCGAGAGAGTTGGGTCGGCGCGTACGTACCCGGAAACGGATGGAGGCGCTGTCGACTGAGAGGTCGGCGGCGTTGAGGACGAGGAAGCGGGTCGGCGCGGAGACGGCGACGGCGACGGAAGCGGTGCCCGAGAAGGTGCAGGCGACGAGGTCGGGGCGGATGCGCAGGTCGTAGCGACGCGGCGCGGCGAAGCGCGGGAGCAGCGGCTGCCCGCGGAACTGTGCCGGCGTACCGGCCACCGGCGGCGGCGGCGGCGCGGGCGCGCGGCCAGGCGGTGCTGCCGCTTCGACATTCGCGTCCTGCGTGGCGTGAATAGGATGAGACAGTGGCCCAGCTTACGTGCATCAAATTATGAGTAAGCCCGGATAACGGCCCACTAGGCCATACACGAGAGTGTGGGGCAGACCCATACAAAAATACGAATTCCACACAAATAACACTTGTAGCAAAAGGCCCATCTAACGCTACCTTAAGGATAACTTTGCAACACAAGATCCTCAAAAAAAAAAAAAAAAAAAAACTTTGCAACAGAATCAATATATAATTTTATATTTTATTTTCGTAGATATCGTTATTGTTTTCGTTCTAAATTATAAGTTGTTTTAATTTTTTTTTTGTTTTGCTATGCACCTACATATAGTTTATATCTAAATATATAGTAAAAGTTATATATCTACTAGTATATAAAATCAAGAACGTCTTATAATTTGAAATGATTAGAGTATATATTAGTTAAAATGTCATATTATTAAACATGGTTTGGAAAAATACACTTGTTGCATAACCCATGATTCCGTATCAGTAAGGCCAATTTCTTAGAAGTTTCATTAGAGTTTCATGGCATTAAATAGATTGGCATGGCACGGAATAAATTAGGAGACAGATGATGAAAGTTTCGTGGGATGATATGAGTTTTATGGGGATGAAACTCATCTACACTGTTTCCAACACATTTGAGTCTTAAACTGGGACATGAAACCCTCCGAAACTAGCCTAACAAGACCTATAGGTATGCCCGACTTTACCCGTTCTAATATAGGACTTTTAAAATGTTATGATAAATCATTTTTTCCCTCATCTAAGCGAAGTTTTTAATACAAAAGTACAAACCGAATGAGTTTATTTGAATCCATCGTAAAATATAATCTAAGCAAGTTTGTCCAAAAGCACAAACCGAATGAGTTTATTTGAATAATATCGTAATAAAAGTACTAATGTACAATGTGGCGATCTCTAGCAGCGCTACCTTGTTGAAGTACCGGGCAAGTACTCCTGCGGTCTCCCCGGCGAACCCCATCTTCCTGCCGCCGAGGGGGGGCCCAGCGTCGCCACCGCTGGCACCCGGCAAGACCGAGACGAGCAGCAGCGCCACCAGCAGCCTCTGCATGCTTCTCTTCGTCGTTCTCTCTCTCTCTCACTCTCTCTCTCCCTCGATCTGGCACAGACGCACAGTGACGGACACCACGCCCAGGTCGGTTGGCACACTCCTCTGTCACTGAGACCGCCTTGGTTGGGTTCAGTTGGGACTTGGGAGAGTGCATGCGTTATTACTGGCGCGCGGCCTGCGGACCAGCGGCGGTGCGTTGACTGGGAGCGCGATCGGAATCGGAGGGGCGGGGCGGAGGGAGAAGGAAGAAGGTCGTCGGAGAACCCCGCGGATCACGCAAAAGAATTGGATCATGTGAACCGACGCATTTCGGGGCAGGCATGCAGGTGTGCAGGCAGACTGGCAGGTGCAGGCTCTCGCATGCCGACAAGGTGCCAGATGCCTCTGCGGACAGCGCGGTCTGCCTCGCCCCATCACTGGAATTCTTTTTGGAACGTTGCTCTTGTTGGAAACGATGGGGCAGGGTTCCTTGGTATCCTCGCGAGGTAGTTGAGATCCATGAATGACTGACTGCACGGTCCATGCAAAGTTAAGCTAATAAGCATATTATTTATTTATCATTCTGATTGTACTAAGTAAATACGGGAATATCAACATTGGCCTCCCGTGCAAAACGTTGACCACTAAACTTTTTAAAACGTATCAGACCGACCACGTCGTATTTAATGTTCCTGCTAAGATTAAAATATTTGGTTGGAGGGTACTGCATGGCCTCGTACCTTGTCGTGGGATCCTTGCAAATCGTCATATTGACAACTCAAGTAGCTGTCCAGCTTGCCACGAGGGATGTGAAGATATAAGACATGTTTTATTTATGTGCAGCCGAGCAAAGGAGATCTGGCGCATACTCGGAGTTGCAAATGAAATTCAAAACTTGCTGCGAGTTGACCGATTTGGTTCAGTTGTGTTGGCTGAGATGATCAAGGTGTCAAGACCGCTAGGAGCTATGAATCATGTTGGTCTGGCAGAACTGATCCTCACCAGCGGATGGTACGTATGGTGGGAACGCAGGAGGTTTGTTCATGGAGAAACTGTTCAAAATCCGACAAGAGCTGCCATGTCGATTGCAACATTGACAACAAACTATCAAAGAGCAGGAAAGAAGAAGTCTAAGAAACAAGAAGGATGGAAGAAACCCCCATAAGGCAAGCTTCTGTTAAATGTGGATGCTAGCTATAATTCGGATCGGGGCACTGGAAGTACAGGAGCAATTATTAGAGATTTCAGTGGTTCGTTCACAGCGGCTAGTTCATGCTTTATTGAACATGTGGTGGATGCGTCGATGGCGGAGGTGATCGCTCTGAGGGAAGGCTTGCTGCTGGCACAGCAGATTGGCTACAGTCGGCTCATGATTCAATCAGACTGCTTGGAGGTAGTAGAAACGATGAAGCAAGATGGAATAACAGCAACGGCAAGTGCACATGTTTATGACGAGTGTAATCAACTCTGGCAAGATTTTGTTTTTATAACTATCGAGCATTGTAATCGGGAAGCCAACAGAGTGGCTGATGAAATAGCTAGGGTAGCAATTACATCAGAGTCATCTTGTATTTGGGTCGATGAACCCCCTAGTTTTATTTTAGAAGCTTTGGTGAACGATGTAACTGTTCCTGGAGATCAATAAAGTGTGCCAAATGGCTTCCCTCAAAAAAAAGTGAGAAGGGTAAAGCGCGCTCGATCATGCGTTAGAGAAGCACGTGACTTGTTTAATTTGTTCTCTGATGAACAGATAATAACATGACAAAAAAATAACCGAGCACATGTGAGACCACATGCCACGTATGTCATATCAGTCAAAATCACAATTCAAATTGAGACCCTATCGGTGCAGAAAGTGACCAACACATAAATATTTGTAGTTTTGTCGTATGTTGTGATCGGAGGTGGTCTAGCACTCAATGACACAGGGTTTATACTGGTTCAGGCAACATGCCATACGTTCAGTTTGAATCGGTCGGTGACTTTATTCCTGAGCCCAAGTGCTCGAAGTTTGCAGTGGGGTTACAAACGAGAGGGAGAAAGATGAGGGGTACAATAGGTCCGGTCGGACTCCGGTCAGAAGGATCGAGAGTGACGGGAGCTCCGCTGTGTGCTAAGTGTTCGAGCGTGTGCTCGTGGCTCGAACCTGGTGGTTATGTTGCTATGTCCTAATGAACTTGAATCTTAGAGAACTGGAATTTTGAGGAACTGAGTTGTGATGGAGAGGGCGCATCCCCTTTTATAGATGTAGGGGGTGGCCTTACAAGTGAGTGAGAGAGAGAGAGTACGTATGCTACTGAGCCTTATTGCCCACGTTGACGGGTACAGGATGATGGTCGGCGCCCACAATACTGTTGAATGTCAGATGCACGTGGGAGGTTGCGTCGTCTTCTTCGGGCGCCTACCACACTGTTGATTCCTGGAGGTATGCGAGGGGTTTTACTACGTTCGCCCGGTACGGTAAATGCCAGCGCCCACAACACTGTCGATGCCCAGAGACATGTGGGGGTGCCTTACCGTATGGGAGTTAATGGCGCCCACAACACTGTAGGGAAAATAGTCGGCGCTCACAACACTGCTTGGGTCCAGACACGCCTGGAAGGTCGTAGGACGCCCCTCTGTCGTGCCCTGTCGACACTGTAGGTGTACAGGGTTTGGTCCTTGGTACTCGGTTGACTTGAGTGTCCTGCCTTACTTTCTCCGTCCGTTTCCTGATCCTCACCGAGCGGGCGTCCCCGGTCGGTTGGTCCTAGTCGGCTCTGATTGCGCCGGTCGGAGAGGAACAGTGAGCAGGGTCTGGCGTATCCCCGGTCGAAAACGCGGGTTGGAGTCGGAAGCAGTGTTTGGCCAGGCCTTTCGGTCGGAGGGACCGTTCGGAGGTGGGCTTGAGACCGAAGCGAGCGCTCCGGTCGGAGAGGTGGGCTGGAGTCGAAAGCGGGTGTTGTTCCTCCTCGGCCAGGCCTTCCAGTCGGAGATTGGATCGCTCTTCTGGCCTGTTGTTTAGTTACTTGGGTCGGCCCATGAGTTGTGTGTTGTTTGCAACGTTGCCTGCTTGGGCCGAGCCTTTGTTGGGAAGCCGGTCTATGAGGGACCCCGGGTTTACGAACCCGACAGACCCACTATGAACTTCTTCTGGGGGGTTGAATTTTTCTTCGGGAAGGGGGAGAGAGGCGCAATTTGTCTAGTTTCGAAAGTAAAGAGGAACATGTTGCTTAATTAATTGGTGTTTTCTAAATTTAGTGATAAGTTCACAGGATAAGTCAGACATTAGTCTTTTTCTAGTGGGTGTATTTTATTATATTGAGTACGGGTATGGATTGGCGGTACCTAGAGGGTTCTTAACCATTGCTAGCCCTACACAGTGCACGAGCATACCTCACCTATCGAGCAGCTACGATACTATGCGCCCGCCCGCCTTGTGGCGCACAGACGTGTGGGCCACAGATTGAGGGGCTAGCCAGTGGCTAGTGACTCGTGGGGGCTAGGGCCTATGGCATGGTGGGTTGGGCACATGTTGGTCTCGAAGCGGGACAGAAAGAGAAGGCATGCATGCATGAGACAGGAGAAAACGACTTGAGCAAGCGAAAACATATTGCAGCATGTACATGTTGAGCAAGTTCTATCTTCACCGTTGAGTATTGCTTTGAGATTCATGCTGCTCACTCTCCCCAATGCTTCACACTACTGATTGGGAAGGCACATATCTCGATGTGATGTTTGGATGGTGAGGATAGCACATGCTCAATATGTATGCACCGAAAAAATGCTTTGGCTTGAGCGAGGGATGAGTTGGTCTAGCATTTTTTATGGGTGAGGATGTCCTCTATCTTATGCATATATTTTCTAATGAGGACGATTCTATCTCTACTACCCTCTTCTAACCAGAAAATTGTAAAAGTGGGCAGCCCATCATGTCTTGTCCTATCGTTTGAACCAAATGCCAATTCATCCTCCGATGTCACTCTGCTGTCGTGATATTATTGACTTATTATTGTGGCTACAGTCATCCCATATACATATGTCAGAGGCTATTTGGAATGGCTTTTTCTGGTTATCTCTCTATGCTAATGAACCAATGAAGCTAATTTTTGTTAGTCTCACCGAGGCTTCTAGTTTACTTTGGAAATAAGAAAAGAAAAAAAAGTTGTTTTAGGAGATTAAGCCACTAGGTCGGTGCCTTAACTATTCTGCCTCGATCGTTAACACCTTCATTTCGTTGATAACGGTCAGACCTACTATCTCTCATTGCATCAGATCGCCCTCCTATTATCGTCCGCTGTGACGCCCCAGCCATCTTAGCTCACGGTGTGGCAGCAACAGCCCATATCACCTCTCTGTGCCCCGTATACCACCACCATTTGTCACCAAGACGGACTTCAATTTCATCAGGGGTTCAAATACAATAATGTAGAGTATAACCCATAACCTAAGTCAACCGTTATTTGTAAGCCTCAATGGGGGCATAGTAAGTGCAGGCCACGATGGAAGTGCATATTAGGTGCATCTGTTTTCAACAGAAAGGGATATAAATATTATTTCATATTGATTTTATGGAAGATCAATGAAGTATATGAGTTGATATATAGTCAGAGATAACAAAGTTTGACAAATAAAAATCATATAAAACGGCATAGTGATGCATATTATGACTCTTAGCAAGTGTATGGGTCTGTCCGGTTGCCTTTCTAGGCAGCGCTTTCGCAGCAACGACAGCTGCTACAAATGATTGTAGCCGGACACGTCCTATGTTCTTTTTATTTTCTACTAGAAGATTCTCTAAGTTTTCTTTTGGTAAACATGAGATCCTCTAAGGTTGCAGTTGGCGCAGATATTGCAACTTGCCGACAGGGGTGCAGACAAGGGGGCGAGCAGGGGCACATGCCCCTATGAATGTGAAATTTCCACTGATTTTTTTTGAAATTCAAATAAATTTTGAAAAATTAACACTGCTGGTCCCCTCTAGAATTCAAAAAAACAACTTCCTGGTTCGCCCCTGCTTGCCGAGCTGAGTGGCTATTCCA